GTTAAGACTTGGAAACTAGTGGGTAGTTGAGTAAAACACAATAGTCTTGTTAATACTGTCTTTAAGATGAAGTGGTGGCGCGAATCTCCTGGATTTTGGGATACAGTGGTTCAAGGGTCACTATTTCTTCTGGGTTTGTTGGTGTCTTCTTTGAAGTTCTCCAAATCTGTATTTGTTATATTCCAAACCAAGTACTTATGATTAAGATTACCACTATAGAGCTAGTTATCACGCTGTTATGGCGGAGTGATGGTGGACATTATGCCAAGTATTTTCATCAAGGCTATCCTGGATCTCTAGTTCTTCTTTCATCAATTCTTCGATGTTTCCAAGGTTGTCTCACGCCCTGAGTACCAGTTCTTGTCCGGAATCGTGGTGGAGTTTAATATGACGTTAATAACGTCAAGTTTGCCACCAACAGACGGGTAAAGCTGGACAACACAGGGATTTCTACTATCCGCTTCGGTGTTAGCACGTTCCTGCGGGTATTAACTGTGCAGCTTTTGAATACAGTAAGAATTCCTGTTCTATTCAGGGCTGTCATTTCTTATTCCATTACATGTGACTGCTACTTTGGTGATTCCGGGAGTGATAAATAGCCAACTGTTTATGGCGTACATCTGTTTCGAAATTGCTGTATGAAATTTTTGTTCTTTAATCTCACATGTCGTGTTGTCGCTTCTTTGATATATTTCATCTTCTTCGTATCTGGCGGTCATGCTGACTATTTTTATGTTAGAATCTTGACTAGGATTTCCCCCGGACACTATCCATCCAAATTCCGTGTTTTGGCCAAGAAATCCATTTGCTGATTTGTGCACTCCGTCCAGCATTATTTTCGGCACTTCTTCAGCTCCTAGGAGAATGTCTATGGGTCCCATCTTGTTGAACGTTGGGTAGGGTGGTCCAAAAAAGTGAAGTTGATTTTACAGATTGTCTCACCCCCCAATTTTTTTACCTCCAACATCAATAAAAAATTCCCAAAATTTTAGGCCCCTAGGTGTATTAGAAGGGAGTGCTCATTAGCTAAGAGATTTCAGTTTTTTTTAAATTTATTTAAAAAAAACATTACGCCATCTTTTTACTGGTTAAATAAAATGTTATGCCCTATATATTAATGTTACAATTACCAAAGAATATTATTTACCTAAACATATATTTCTTACACACTAGTTCAATCAGCTAATCCCGCACCTTTCCCTAAGAAACTAAAAACTACACTTTACAGTTCAGCCATTTCATGATGACGGACGCTACCATTTGACCAAAATCTTGTCAAATATTTAAAAAAAAATGCCTAAAAACCAAAACTGATTTTAAAGCTAATATTAAAAATTGAAAGTGGAGATGAGGTAAAAAAAATAACATATAAAATAATTATCTGACATTTACGGATTCCAAGAATTTACTTTTTAAACTTAGATGACGGACGCTACAAAAAATGGAAGTGGAATAAATTTATTTTATGTTTCACCTGAATATTAGCAAATTGATAAGGGATTAAATTTAAACTTTATTATATTATATTAAGCATTGGACTAGATAAATATTTTTTATTTTTATTTTGTATTTGGTTTAATAGATAATATATAAGTACATGAAATATGTGATGATGGACGCTACATGACGGACGCTACAAAAGTTCCACCAAAATGCTAATCTTTTATTTTTCAATTTATTTCAAATAAACAACCAAAAACTTCACTAAACAAATAAACTCTATATTTAACAGTAAAATATGCCACTACTTAAATACAACACACGATTCGTAACTGGAATTTCTTGTTTGAGCGGTTTGCAACGAATTGGAGCTTAATTTCATAAAAAAGTGTTTTGATTGAATAAAAGGAATCTTCTTAACATTAGCCCACCTTTTATCCAGCATCTCTTTTATATTTTCAACATCCTCAGCACAAATATATCTATCTATAGCACCCTTTCCGTGACTACTGGCAAAAAAGTTCCATTCAACACTAGGCAGGTTGAACTCTAAGTACATCATAGTAACACAAATTTGAAAGAGTATATTTATTTTTAAATTGGGCAGCGCAGCCGTCTGAAAAGATCACTGTTTTGCATAAATGTTGTAATAGATGGGGATAGTTCCAATGAATTTTCTTAAAAATTTCTTGAAGAAATACATAAACTGCGTACTTGTCATGTCCCATGTAGTCGCTTATAATGGCAATAGAAAAGGTCTGCTGTGGTGTCAAGACAACACAAGTAAATATTGTTACTTGTTTGTGAGACCAGTGTGCCGATTGAATTTCATTTTGCACTACAAGAACTTTATCTTCGGCAAGATGAACCTTTTGTTCATCAAAATACAGTTCTTGCACCCTTTTAACAAAACAGTGTGTTTTTAATTGGCTCTCTAGCGTTTTGATCACTGAAAAAAGCGTAGCTTCTGTAACTTGGACCTCATTATCATTCCACTGCTTGTAGTTAACAAGTAGGTATGTCGTCCAAATCAAACATATATTTATCAAAGCGTGTGAAATGTCATAATCGCAGTTTTTGTCATACACTGTTTTTCATCTATATTGCAACACATTTGTTACAGGAAATCAGTACTGCTTTTCGGAAACTTCAAAATATTATTTTGTATTGCCTCAATTAAAAAATTAAAATTCGCGTGATAGCGAAATACACACACGTTATGCGGCATTTGTGATGATAACAGAACGTGCTTGGGGCGCAACTGGTAAAATTTAGTAATCTGAATATTTGTATCTGCGAATTCTTGCTTAAATAGTGTAAATGCCTCCTTAATCGTCATTATAAGATGTCTTTTTTGTAACGATTCTCTACCAGTAATTGGATTTTTGACACTTTTTGTCTCTCTCTTTCCTGGGGCATGTCTGCTAACATCATCACGTAGGTAAAAAATATTGACAAGTCTAACATCTTCAGTAGATGTAGTAAGTCCATGAATTATTGTGGGCTTCTCGTCACGCAACTTTTCGGGGATAGTTTGTAAAACTAACTTCTGCACTACAATTTTTCTTTTCAGTAACTTTTAATTTCTCAATTTTTCGTAAATGACTATCAAACTGCAACTTTTATTTTTTCTTTACTCTTTCGGCATCTTTTTTTAAAAGTGCAATTCTTGTAATTTCGTCACTTTTAATTTTTTCTCGATAACGTTGCGCGGCAATTCTGTTTTGTTTTGATCTGTAAAAAATATTCCACCGGTATAAAAATCTCTCGAAAAATCTTTAAACAAGGTTAGAATGAGCATTTGTGTGTTTTAATTTAGTCTAATTTAACCGTAAAACAAGATAAATGAAAAATCTAAAAAAATATTACTCAAACATTTTTTGCTTACGGACGCTACATAAAAGTTTAATTAAAAAAAAATATATATTCTTGACATATCTAAAAAAAGCTTAATATACTGACAAGAGGCAAAATGTGTATTTTTAAAAATAAATAATTTAGTCAAAAATTATTTATCTTCATTAAGAAATATTAAGTATTACATCTTTTTGATGACGGACGCTACACTAACAACATAAAATAAATAAAGTTAATAAAAAAATACTACTTACCCATTTTGATTTACAAAATCGTCACCAAACACTCTGATAATTAATATTTTAATGAAATAAAATAATGAGAGTTGTATAATAAATGACATAATCACTGAACAATAGCGTGCTAAATAACTTATGTTTTAATTCATTTTTTTTAGGATGCGTTCGCATCAAGTAAAATATTGTTTTAAGGGCCTTATAATGGAAAATATATTATTTTTATATTAGATATGTAAAATTTAGACTACGTGCACAATATTTCATATTAAAGGTATTGCATATAAACAATTTTAAATTGTGCTCCTTAGTTTCAAATTCTCTGGAATGGCTGAGTTTAAATGTCATAAGTGCTTTGGATAGGGAAAATGTCTCAGACCGTGAAGTTCTAAGGCTTATAGTACAGATTGCGATAACACTGGGAAAAGATCCGCATGAAATGCCGTCTCGCAGCACTATTTGCCGGAGACGAAAACATGAAAGGAAGAAAAGATATGAAACAAAGTTTTTCTTGTCAAGGTTTAGTTTTTGTTCATTGGGATGGTAAAATTCTTCCTGATTACCACTGCTTAACTAAAGTAGAACATTTATCAGTAGTAGTTTCAGCAGATGGAATAGAAAAGTTATTAGGAGTACAGCAAATGAAGTCGGAAACGTACTTCGAGAATGGAATCTGGTGGATAAAGTATAAGGAATGTGTTTTGACACAACATCTGTAAATACTGGAATGAAGAATGAATGCTGCGTTTTGCTTGAGAAAAAATTGGGAGATACTTACTTTTTTTTAGTCTGCAGTCATCATGTTTTGGAAATAATTCTTAGTAAGGTTTTTAAGTTGTGCTGCTTTCCGGATATTCCAATTCCAATCGATTTAAAATAATTTGGGTACCTATTGATCGTATCTGCTTCAAGTCCTCAGACCTAGAATCGTCGATGAATTTTGAATTTTACAAAAACTCCCCAATCCCCTTGTTGCTAGCTGCATTGAAACAAAAGTCTCAACGTTATGACGACTACTTGGAACTGATCGAGTTGGCTTTGGTCGTTTTGGTGAAATCTGGATCAAGGCACCGTGTGCCACTAAAGCTACTATGTCCGACCTAACTTTTTGGAAAGATTTAGAACGCTATGAGGAGATTGGGAAAAGCGAGGTTGCTAGAAATTCTCTGAAACATCATCTTTGGTACTTATCCAATGAACTCGTAATAATTTTAATACCAACAACAATAATAATAATAATAATAATAATCATAATATTAATATGGCCTTTGTCTACGCAATAAATTATTTCTTACTTATATTTTTTCAAGGTCGACTGTGTGTTGTAAACTTCGAGTTGTAAATGATATAGCGGAAAGATGGGTAAAACTATTTGAAGAGCATAATCAATTATAAAAAATGAGGACGAAAAGCAAGACTTGTTACAAATCGTAGAAACGAATCGGAAATCTGTTCCGACAGAAACCACAAAAAAGCTGCAATTTATGCTACTAAGAGTTCTGGACCATGATTTTCATGTGGATATATTGTCTTCAGATTCATTCTATCATAGCTGTGAGCACTCCCTTCTAATTAAGCTAGAGGGTTCAAATTTTCTAAAATAACTTTTTTTACTTTATATAAAAAAATTAGAGGGTGAGAATAAGTCTATTTACAACTTCACTTTTTTAATTCGTTTCTGGACCACCCTAACGTTGGGTCAGCCAATACTTTGTTCTGCCATTGTTCCATGTCTATATCAAAACTTTTTTCAGGCAGTGTCCTTGTTAGTTTGGGTAGCACTAGGAGATTTGTTGTCAGCTTAAATGTACTCGGGAATCTTGGGCTACAAGTAAGTGTCACTTGTTGGCTTGACGTTTTTATGTCCCCATCTCCAACACCTGATAGGTCTGTGGATACCTTTTGCCTTGGAAGGGCTAATAGGGTTGCTGCTTCTTCCGTGATCAAGAATGCTTGAGAGCCTTGATCGATGAGTACTCGTGCATACTCCACACCTCCACTCACTGTTGTGGCTTTAATGAGGGCGTTTGCTAGTAGTACTATTGGACTCTGATTCCCCACGTGGTTGCTTGCCTTGTTTTTTTAGTTGTCTACCTTTGATTGGGTTTTGTGTTCCGTCTTTTCAAAGTGCAAGAGCGTATGATGACGTCTCGAGCACACTGCACATCTTCTTTCTGATGTGCATTTTGCAGCTGCATCATGCCATAGGCAATTATTGCACAAATTTTTTTCTCTTATTGCCTGGCTCCGTGCTGTCCCTGACAGGCCCCTGAACTTTGGGCAATAACTTATCGTATGTTGGTCTTGGCAAAAACTGCACACGATCTTATGCCTCTTGTTCTGTGCTGCATTTGTCGCCGTCAATCTGGGACTGTTGGGTGTTGCCTCTAAGGATTGAAAACGGTTTCGCAAAAAGTTGATTTGATCTTCTAAACATTGAATTACCAACGGATCCTTGATAGAAGACTCATATAACCTGTTTGTTTCAGCATCCCATTTTTTCGAGATCAAACAGCTTATTATTGGACCCCATGAGTCTGTTTTTATTCCCATCAGCTCAATTGCAGCCATTCACTTATGGTGTCGTGGAGTTCTTGTAGTTTTCTAGCTGATTCATGGTGAATTGCCATCATTTTATTAAGTAACTTTGTTAATATTAACCTCTTGTTATTGTACCTTTTTTTAAGCTGCTCCCATACTGCTCCGTAATTAGCATTTGTTATGGGAAAATGTTGAATGGCACGCGCTGCTTCGCCTTTAAGGTGAGTTTTTATATGCTGCATTTTTTCTACGTCGGACAAGCGTCGGTTGTTGCGTAAATATGTCTTCGAAATTGGCCCATTCCTCGTAATTACCTCCGAAAACTGGAATCTGGACCTGTGGTAGTTTGATTGATGTGCTTCTATTATTGTCGCTTTCTGTTTGTTTTAACCTACGTATTTTTTGTCGTAGGTCACAAATGCGGTCTTCGCATTCCATTTCGATTAGTGTATACGTGTTGTTCGTGAAATACGATGCCTGACGTAGTGTGTCGTCGGCTCGGATTTCAAAATGTGCTGATACTATTACTTGCCATTGATTTATTAATTTTTCAGACAGAATTTCGTACCTATCTATAGTCTGGTCATGGGCTAATGCGTCGTCAATTCTGTTCATTATTTGCTGAAGATCCCGTTGCATCTGGTATTTTACTCGTGTATCTTCGTCTTCGCTGGATTCGTTAATACATGTTGTTGAGTCCTGAATGTCCTTATAACAGTCCCGATACGATTTTTAGATTTGTTTATAATATTCTAATGTCCAATATTCATGAGATAATTATTTGATTTTAATTATCTCGGCATGAGTTTGTTCCGCATTGGCCCAATGTTCGTTCAACACCTCAGTGCGGCGTTTAAAGTATTCAGTTGACTTTCTTGAGGTTGAATCTTTCTTCATGTTGGTGTGTAGTTGAAGGATGGCCTTCCCAGTGACCTGTTGTTTGGCCACCAGCTCGTTCATTTTTGGGTTTGTGTTCGTCATCTTAAATTGTGTCGATTTGATTATTTTCTAGATATGAAACTGCACCACTTCTGGATTGGACTGGTACAATTTTAGGTTCGAAGGACCATGAAATGAATCGGATCTTAATTAGGATCCCGAATCTTTGTAATAATGTCCCACTAGCGGAGCGCAGCCTCACACTCCAGTTAAGGCTTGGAAACTAGTGGGTAGTTGAGTAAAACACAATAGTCTTGTTAATACTGACTTTAATTATAAAATTGTTTCCTTATATACAAATGGGATATTTTATTTTACATACTTATTTTACAAACATCTTAATGTTAGAAGGTTGTATTTTGTTATGTTATTGCTGACGCGGTTTGTTCGCTTAGATGATCGAAATAGGTCAATTAAATAATTATTGTTTAATTTTAAGATTAAACACAGTACTTATTATCTCTGTGTTTATATGAAGTATCTGAATTTTTAAACCAGTTATCTGAATTACCTATATGTTTTGTTGTACCTATGTATTTTATTTTATTCTAGTTTAGCCCTAAGTTAGTTTTGAGTCTTTTATTGTGCTATTTACCGACCATTCCTATACAAATACTGTTTGTCAATTTGGGAAAATAAAGATTATTATTATTATTATTATTTTCGTAGTATTTTTTTCTGGATAAGGTCAGTAAGTTGTTATATTTCTTTTTAACTAATTTATATGCTTCTGCATATCTCTGATCCACTGAGCTCATTACAAGGAGAATATCTAATTTGTTTTTGCACATTTTTATTTCTTCACTGTTATAGTATTGTTTAAATGTTTTCTTTTGAGTTACTGGTTTTAAAGGGAAAGTTTCATAAAAAATAGGCAATATTGTATTCATTAACACCTCCCATTGCTTATTCACATTATTTATTGGTACCTCAAACTCTTAACCAGTCTTCATTTAAAAGATTGAGTTGAAATTTTAATTTATTTTCAAGGTTAAATATTCTCCTTAATGCATGTTGTTTTTGCTTAATTTTTGGTTCCTTGACAGTAATTATTTGTGCTGAGTGGTCAGATATATTGGCATGCACTATTTCTGCATAATAATCTTCATGGTTTGTAAATATATTATCAATGCAGCTTCCAGATTGCCCCGATTTCCTAGTAACACCTACAACAGAAGGATGCAAATTGTATGAACTTAACAGTTAATCATTTGATATTGTACTCCTTCTTAAAATATCAATATTGAAATCCCCTGCTACAAAAACAAACTCACATTTAACTTTATCAAGAATTTACCCAAGTTTTAGCAAAACAACCTGAAAAATTAACGCCATTCAATTTTGAACAATGACAGATTATGTGGTAACCACAGAAATCATCCGTCACAGATTTCTAGATAGAAAATAATATAAATTTTTTTAGAAATTGTTAAATATCTCTGAAATTATTAACTTTAGGTATAGGGAATAGTTACATTAATCGTTTTTTAATTTGCTATTTGATTAGGTGAAAACATACCGGGTTTTACATTTAAAATAAAAAAAGTTATTAACGTTTCACGTTAGCTCAATTTGCCATGCGTTTCTCACAAGGCGTAGAAGGGCCAACAACAATATTTTATTTAATACAATTAACTTAACAATTAACTGTTTATTTTTAGGGTAGTTATGCATTTATAATTTTTTTTTCAAATTAAATTGTCTTTTAAAATATATAAAAATATACAGGGTCACATTTTTTTGTTGTGAATATTTCGAAAATCCTGTATTCAACATTTTTATCAGAAGAAAAAGCCACTGATTTGCTAATTTAACCAACTTTGTAGCTCTAATAATAACGGACTTAGCAATGGTGAGCAGATATACCAAATTTGGTCAGCTTAAGCTTGGTACCATAGCTAAAATTACTTAACTATATAGTATATCTCAGAGATTAATGAGGGCGACTGAGGGTTAGGCTGCCTAGACATTTTAAAAGAATGCTCGACACTGGTTTTTAATATAAAGTTATTTAATAAAACACGTAGTCACCCTGCTGAAAAAGCCGGGTGATTGCGGGCGTAAATTTCGATTGAAATATGCGTCAAAACCGGGTGATTGCGGGTGAAAATCTTATCCGCCCATACCCGCAAACGCCTGCTTTACTTTATCCGCGAACGCCCGGTTATACCTGTCTTTCGTCCGGTTAGTGCACCCCCGCAATCATCTGCAATCACCCGCGAACGCCGGCATTTAGTTTGATCTACTTTCGCCCGGTTTCATCCGCAAACGTCGGCTTTCGTCTGCGAACGCCTGCTTTCACCTGCGTACGCCTGTTTTCACCCGCAAACGTCTGCTTTTACCCGCGAACGCCTGATTTCATACTTTTTCACCCGCAAACGTCTGCTTTCACCTGCGAACGCCCGGTTATACCTGTCTTTCGCCCGGTTAGTGCAACCTCGCAATCATCTGAAATCACCCGCGATCGCCGGCATTTAGTTTTATCTACTTTCGCCCGGTTTCATCCGCAAACGTCGGCTTTCGTCTGCAAACGCCTGCTTTCACCTGCGTACGTCTGTTTTTACCCGCAAACGTCTGCTTTTGCCTGTTTTCACCCGCAATTGCGTTTAAACGTCTACTTTTACCTGCAAACGCCTGCTTTCACCCGCAAACGTCTGCTTTTACCCGCGAACGCCTGATTTCATCCGCGAACGTCTGATTTCATACTTTTTCACCCGCAAACGTCTGCTTTCACCTGCGAACGCCCGGTTATACCTGTCTTTCGCCCGGTTAGTGCAACCTCGCAATCATCTGAAATCACCCGCGATCGCCGGCATTTAGTTTTATCTACTTTCGCCCGGTTTCATCCGCAAACGCCGGCTTTCGTCTGCGAACGCCTGCTTTCATCTGCGTACGTCTGTTTTTACCCGCAAACGTCTGCTTTTGCCTGTTTTCACCCGCAAACGTCTGCTTTTACCCGCGAACGCCTGATTTCATACTTTTTCACCCGCAAACGTCTGCTTTCACCTACGAACGCCCGGTTATACCTGTCTTTCGCCCGGTTAGTGCAACCTCGCAATCATCTGCAATCACCCGCGATCACCGGCATTTAGTTTTATCTACTTTCATCCGCAAACGTCGGCTTTCGTCTACAAACGCCTGCTTTCACCTGCGTACATCTGCTTTTACCCGCAAACGTCTGCTTTTGCCTGTTTTCACCCGCAAACGTCTACTTTTACCTGCAAACGCCTGCTTTCACCCGCAAACGTCTGCTTTTACCCGCGAACGCCTGATTTCATCCGCGAACGTCTGATTTCATACTTTTTCACCCGCAAACGTCTGCTTTCACCTGCGAACGCCCGGTTATACCTGTCTTTCGCCCGGTTAGTGCAACCTCGCAATCATCTGCAATCACCCGCGATCACCGGCATTTAGTTTTATCTACTTTCGCCCGGTTTCATCCGCAAACGTCGGCTTTCGTCTGCAAACGCCTGCTTTCACCTGCGTACGTCTGCTTTTACCCGCAAACGTCTGCTTTTGCCTGTTTTCACCCGCAAACGTCTACTTTTACCTGCAAACGCCTGCTTTCACCCGCAAACGTCTGCTTTTACCCGCGAACGCCTGATTTCATCCGCGAACGTCTGATTTCATACTTTTTCACCCGCAAACGTCTGCTTTCACCTGCGAACGCCCGTTATACCTGTCTTTCGCCCGGTTAGTGCAACCTCGCATTCATCTGCAATCACCCGCGATCGCCGGCATTTAGTTTTATCTACTTTCTCCCGGTTTCATCCGCAAACGTCGGCTTTCGTCTGCGAACGCCTGCTTTCACCTGCGTACGTCTGTTTTTACCCGCAAACGTCTGCTTTTGCCTGTTTTCACCCGCAAACGTCTACTTTTACCTGCAAACGCCTGCTTTCACCCGCAAACGTCTGCTTTTACCCGCGAACGCCTGATTTCATCCGCGAACGTCTGATTTCATACCTTTTCACCCGCAAACGTCTGCTTTCACCTGCGAACGCCCGGTTATACCTGTCTTTCGCCCGGTTAGTGCAACCTCGCAATCATCTGCAATCACCCGCGATCGCCGGCATTTAGTTTTATCTACCTTC